TAAAATGAAGACAGATCGGAATCGATGAATCGATAGATAGACGGATGGATAGGTAGATGGGTAGCGAAAGCACGGAAAATCATCTAGCAATAAGGACAGCAATAACAATGATACAAAGTGTAACATCAAGTTGTGCATTCAAAAGTATATACCCTCCCCATCCCTGCCCCAAATTAACATAGACAGTGAACATAGCAAACTTTGAGTGGGACATCATCTAAACCCCGACTCATGCCAGGGTCTATATTAGTTTGGGGGAGGGTAGGTTGACAGATATATTCATAGATTGTTGATTTGATTGGTTAATGAATTGATTGAAAACCAACAAAACATAGGAACTGATTGGTGGTTTGGCCCTTTTTTTTTGTTTTCCCATATATTGGGAATAATAATCCCAACTGACTATTTTTTTCAGAGGGGTTGAAACCGCCAACTAGGGAACATATACTGGGGCAGAATGGAATATGATGAGATAATCCATGGGTCATGTTGGATACAATGGCGGACTGTAATGAGATGTATGAAACACGATCAAAGACGATGGGATGGAATGGCCGTCAAATCTAACGTTTGAGACAACTCCCAAAGTTGTGCTAATTTCAACATATACATATATATATATATATATAATATACATATACAGTACATACTTCTGATAGATTTTAAGATGACAAATCCAGGGTGTGCTGTTAGTCCACTTACAGAAGTGTTTGCAAGACCGATTTGGTTCGGCTCGTGGATTTGACAAGGGGAACATTGAAAATTCGCAGTTTCAGTTCAGTCTAATGTGATAATCCCATCCCCCCATAATATGGTGCGATGTGTAAATCCCAACGAATAAAACATCTTGGTTTCTGGGGGCTGTTGGTTCATAACAGGGGAAGGGATTATCTCCGAGGTCGATCCTGTAGCACAGTTCAACAAAAAGGGTGATTTGCAAATACCAAACTGAGCCTCAGTTTGTAGCCATTTGGTCAGTGGTTTGGATGTTTTTCCATATATTGGGAAGTTCATAATCCCAACTGACCAACTCATATTTTTAGGAGGGGGTAGGCTCTAGCTGGATGGGTTTACCCAGCGTCGAAGAATGGGATCTCCATTGGTGCTCAATGGGTTGGGAATGGGGGTTGGGATCATAGTTGATAGTTGTGGTACAGTTATGGGATATGATTGGGTGACCTCCATTCCCTACTAAGATCTAAGCAATTCTGAGCACCTGTAAGTAATTTTCACGATTAAAATCCCCACTAAGATCCAGTAATTTTAATGCCTACTGAGATCTGAGGCATTAAAATTGATTACCCCCTGGTGGATTTTGCCATGAAAAATGGTGATCTTCCGTCGTTTTTTGTATGTTTACCAGAGGGTAAAACGATTCCTTTTGCTTGTCACAGGACGGCGTCCTACTGGCAAGGACCGGTCGGGGTCGTTACGGTCGTTACGGTCGTTCGGGTCAGGGTGCTGGAGATTGACAGCCTTGATATCTTGTCGTGATGATAGTGAACGTGTTTTTTTTCCCATTAAAATCATTAAAACTTCATCATAAATGGTGAACATGGTCATGATAAAGATAGTGGTTATGAAAGTGATGTGCCGTTCTTAAATCAAAGGACAGGTGAACTTGGCATCAAAGGTACATGTTTCATCAATTTTCAGTAGGACCAGAAACTGAGACTTGATCATCCAGTGGTGTCACCATTTTATGACCCATGCACTTGGACCAGTTCTTGGACTGGAGGTAGTCGAATGACAGCTTGACTCAGTGCATTTGTTGCGCCAAAAAAGAGCCCATCCCAGTAACAATTGGGATGTTCTATCCCAAACTAAAAATTCAGTGATGCGCTGCTCCTTGCCCATGCACAACAGGCGACGGAAAATGAAATTCTTGCAATTCTTGCGCAAATGGCAAAGCCAGAAGGATGCAATGGTACTTCCTACTTACCAATGACGGATTGACGGAAGGTGTACCAAGTCAGTTTCAAGTACCATACCGATCTATACCGCACTTCGGACATGTTGCAAGATTGGTTGCCACGACCAATGGCTATCCAATGGATGATCCATGCGATATCCCAACTGTGGAGCGTAGTTGTGAGATCCAATGTATACAATAATAATACAATAATAATATACTATCCAATGGGTTATTTAGAATTTAGATTGTCCCCCCACATTGAAGTTTTGAAATAATTTAATTAATTTCTCACTTAAATGTTCTTATTCTTGGTGCAAATGCGTGGACCTTGCAATTCTCTCATGCCGGTTTTAGCTCAAGGAAGTCATATCCACAGTAGCCCTGCCTTGCCAAAGAGGATTCCTCACCGGTTTCACCTTGGAACACCCTCCTGTTGGTTCTACCCTACTGATGTTGTTGCCATGTTGAACAAGTTCCTGATTTTTTCTTGGTTATGTCATCTGAATATCAGACAATATCAGTATTGTTGGACATCACACAGAGCATTGTTAAGTTTCTTGGTGATCCCGACATCCCAGTGCTGGAAACACATCACCATTCTGTTCGCATTTTTTTGCTGCTAAAAACCACCATTATGTTCAAGTATCATTACTGAACTTTTTTTCATTCCAACTTTCCACACATCCCCATATATTTTCTCACCAAAAACACATTTTTTCATCATTTTTCGATATCTCCGTCACCGTTTGTTTCCCCACGTGGTTTAACCACCGTGGCCACGGGCCGTGAACCGTGCACAGGGAGGTTCAAGAGCTCATCGCAGCCAAGATCTCGTTGGATTTGTTGCCACGGCTGCAGCAGGCGGCGGTGGAGGTCAGACACCGAATCAATGAAGCCTTCGAAGCCAAGGCGCCTGCGGATGGGATATGATTTGGGGGTACCCCGATTTCAGCAAACCTCCATGTATACATATATATATATATTATTATATATTATATAGTTATAGATTATGTATATATAATGTACATATGTATATATATATATATAATGTATATATGTATATATAATGTATACATATATATATATATTATGTATATATATATTGTATTATCTCAATGTCATTATATATGTAACTGTATATATATATATATTTCAATTATATATCTGGAGGTTTCCTGAACTGGGGGTACCGCCAAATGATTCATTTTAGTAGGATTTTCCATCATTAAACCATCTATTTTGGGTACCTTCATGTGTGGAAACACATAACAAATATATATATATATGCTTTATGATTTAACCACCAACAATAGGGATTGAATGGCGGATGTGGACATATTGTAGAGGGACATAACCATGATTATTGGGATTTGAGGGGATATGGATACAAGCACCAACAATTAAATATAGTTTTTTTATTATGATTTAATGTTGATTATGATAATGGATAGTAATGGTATAATATGAATAAAGTAATTCGCCTTGCCCATTGTTGTTACATATTGCAACAGTCCCTTTGTTTGCGGCAAAATCCATGTGTCGCACATGTTTTATTTGGTCTACCTATATATATATATTATAGTATCACCAATATCCTTACGCTTACTTGAGTCCAACGCTTACTTGAGTCATGTTCAAAACCGCTGTTGATTGATGATTATACTGTTTTACTCGTCAATATACTGGTGATTATCAAAATGCATGAACTGGGAATTCTGTTGACAAACCATGGAAAATGATGGAAATACTACTAACTCGGGTTGTAAGCACTGCTCACATACTTCTATGCTGGATACCCTTTGGTAATTTATAGCAGTTCGCTATGGTTGATGTCCCATTCAGCTCGATGATTTGCCCTTTTGAAGTGGTGCTTTTCCCTGAACTTCACCATCATAAATCATAAACCCCAAAAAATCTCAATCAATATATTCCAATAAATCCCATGAAATCCAAATAAATCTCAATAAATCCCATAGAATCCCATAAAAGGCTTAGATATTTTTAACAGAGGCTCGTCAGCGTCATCTCTCCTTATGGCCGCCAGGAGTCGGAGTCTCAGGAGGAGACGAACGGCGACCTCTTGAAAGAACTGTCCTTGGAGGCCAACGGGCGTGGATTCGTGGGAGCCAGAAAGGGGGCTGGTTGGTTAATAAACATTAATAGTGGTTTTATAACCAGCCCAGTGGTTAATAGTGGTTACCATAGTGGTGATTTTACTATTAGTGGTTACCCAGTGGTTAATAGTGGTTACTATAACAGCGGTGGTTACCATAGTGGTTAATAGTGGTTAATAGTGGTTAATAAACATTAATAATGATGGTTAATAAGCACTATGGTTAATAGTGATGGTTACCATAGTGGTTGATAGTGATGGTTTATATTGGTTTTCATAGGCTATAAACCAACAACAATGGCTAATATTGGTTTATGGTTATTAAGAACTGTTAATATCTGGTTGCTCCCCCATCTGGTTTGTGCTTTGGAACACTTTTTGCTGGTTAATAGTGATGGTTAATAGTGGTTTTCATAGGCTATAAACAAACAACAGGAATATGATGGTGATCTGGTTGGTGCCTTGGAACATGACTGGATTATGACTTTCCGTATATTGGGAAGAATCATCCCAACTGACGAAGTTATATTTTTCAGACGGGTTGTTTTACCACCAACCAGCTGGTAGCTATAGGGGGTCATACCGTTATACCTATTTATAACTATTTGTAACTTGGGAATATCCAGAAGGCATTGCCTAGTTTACGAGCTCCGTGTATCCAAACTGTTGGGGGTTAGGGGGGTTAGAATCCCATGGTTATATATATACAGTTATACCCATGAATCCCAACTGCATTCCCAATTTCGGGTATGGGTCAAAGCCCTGTAGCGCTGTGAACTGCAAAATAGCTTGGATTTATTGATGTTCAACCCCCCCAATATATGTATATATATATATATTATATATATATTATATATATACATATGATACTATAGGTTTAGAATAGGGCGTCAGAATGGGGAGTACATCCAATTTATGACAGTTAGTGTCATGGGGAAATTTATCATCACTGGATCTTGGCGGGCCCTAGACCATATATGAGTAGATCATGAGATAGAATGGACAAAGTCAGCCAGTATGATTACCTGGCGCCCAGAAACGCGTAGATACCCGGCAACTTGAGTTGGGGAAATGATGAACCATTGGATTCTCGGTTAAGATTTTTTTTGAACCGAACTGACATGGCAATTCGGTGAGGTCCAGTGAAAGCAAGTCGTTGGGCAATCCCGAAACGAAACGGAGGAGAACCTACAGCTGGGAGAAGCATCGAACGAAATGGTGCATTTTCCTATCCAAATATTTTAAATATGGGTGACAAGTGCAAGGCGATATCACATTTCAAGACCACGGGACCAGCAGTTAGGCTGACCGTTCTCGACACCAGAACGTGGGAACCATACCCCCAAATGGTTATTTGGCAGGCCAGTTTTTTGGTGATTCATGATCAAATTTGGTGATACTGATACCCTAATTTCAGACAAACCCAAATCAAGTTTTGTGGCGTTTGTGGTACCTTGTACCGCATATCCCTTAAGACATTCAGGTGCCAAGACATGATGTGCTGAAGAATCATAAAGATGTTAATGGATGATTTCTCTGATTTTCCTATCTATATCTATATTGATGTGACCATATGTATTTCATATATATATATATACACGTAATATTATATATATACAAAACATTAGAAAGATTTGTTATATATATATACATATATACAGTACATGTATTTGTGTCAATATTGTTTTGTATATATATATACACAGAGTTGCACCCTTCTTTCCGACATTTTCCAACCAACTATATTGGACTATGTTTGATTACACGTTTGGATTTGGTTACAGGTTTGGGCAAATGCCCGTCCATTGTTGGTTCGCTACCACATTCTTTTTTTTCTGGCTACATTTCCCTTTCATTCTTGGTTATACCACCATTCTTCCGCAGTTTTCCCCGGTCAATTACCACTTATCACCTGGTTGGTGGTTTCAAACATTTTTAATTTTCCATAATATATGGGATGTCATCCTTCTGATTGACTTTCATATATCGGATGGAGCACCAACCAGTCACTGCTTTTTTTCTTAATCGGATGGAGCACCAACACCCTTTGCGCGGTTGCCAGTTGCAGGCGCCAGACGTGTATGTTCCGCCGGAGCCGTTTCTGCTGAACACCGACTTCAGGGAGTACCGCTTGAAAGGCGCAACGAACGTAGAAAAGAAGGGCTGGGTATTGAAAAACGACCGTCTGGTGAATAGCTGGGTAATAATCATTACCCTCTGGTTATTTAACATAGCCATGGAAAATGACCCATTTATAGATGGTTTACCTATTACACATGGTGATTTTCCATGGCTATGTTAGTCATAACCAGATGGTATCAGATGGTAATAGTCATTTAACAATATAGCATATATAGGGAATATTTGGGGATATCATATGATATAATGGGATATTGAGGGACCCCAGTAATCACAAAGGTGGTTGGTGAACCCCGAACTACATGGAGGTGTCTGGGAAAATCATCGAATTCAATGGTGAATTCAATGGTCTACGGTAGATACATCGAGCTATTTAATGATGTTAATGTTTTTTGGGATGAATGATATGTATCTAAAGGATTTTTAAATTGACACCACCATTTTATTAGGGATATAGAGATATCATGGGGAAAACATATGGGATCGAACAGAGATAATGACTAGTTGGTGGTGGCGAAGACTGTTAAGATGTATAGTTTATTATCTATCCAACACATGGGATGATGATCCACAACGGTTGCATATTGTGAAGTGGCTGGGTGTGAAACAAACGTTGGCAGGGGGATTTCTGTAGACAGGAAGACTGCAGTCGATCTACCTTCTGGGAATTTCACAGTTCGCTTCTGGGAACATGGCCATGGTGCGTTTGTTGATTTACCAAGCTATAAAATGTCTGGTTGGTGGTTTCAAACATCAATTTTATGACTGTTATTTTCCATTTCATATATGGGATGTCATCCCACTCCCATTGACGAAGTCCATAATTTTTCAAGATGGTAGGTCAACCACCAACCAGATTTTTATTATCCATCATCATATAACCATATAATAGCCATATATTAACCATTATTAGCAGTGATTAACCACATATTAACCATAGCAAACTGTGAGTTTACCGGAGGGTAGGCTTGAATCCCACCGGTCACATGGTGCGTTCGGAATGGCCATCCAGCCATACAAATGTCCCCTCGGTTGGGGAAGATGTGTGAATGGTTCATCCTCCAACATCTTGGGCAGTGGTCATTCCACATCATTCCGCTGATGTGGCATGATCCAGCAGTACTGCCCATCGTGTGTTCATCATCAACTATAATGATTTGGATAAAAACGGGATTTCGAAGGATTTCGATAGTAATTAGCATCCAATCATTAACTAACCCTATGGGTCCAAGACCTTCTTAGGAAGTACGACTGGGGTATGATGACTAGGGGGTGAGCCGTACCTTCTCAGACAGTGTCTGGATTTAACTAAGAGGTAAATTCCATTTGGGAT